CTCTCTCTGCCGCTTCTCTCTTCTTGTTCTTTTCCGCTTCTTCTTTCCTGTCTTCCTCCTTCTGTCTCTAAAACCTCCATGGGGTTAGCTGCATACAGACACAACTCCTTGTCAATTTCAAGGCATGGTCCTCCCACCAGGGCCATGAACTGACCAATCCCCTCTCAGTAGGACATAGATAATTCATTTGCATAGTAGACTCAAGACACTTAATTCTCACAATCTATTGGCCAGTCCCTGCAAGGCGCATACCAATCACAGGGCAGGCTGCAGCTCAGGGCCAGACAGTAAGTATCAAACCACAAGTTGTTTACAGTTTACTCAAGAACTGTCAACCTACCTGGACAAAAGTAACTAACCCCCTGGAGTAGAAAACTAGGGCAAAGGTAATGCCCCAGGGTTGAGGGGAGAAAGCTCTCAAGCTGTTTTTCCAAAGAACCAGGGAAAAAGGCCACATAAAGAAGCTCCCTTCACCACAGACATGCTCTCACTTGCTCTTATTCACCCTGGGAAGCCAGCAGCTATGTTGGAACTAGCCCTACAGAGAAACCCACCTGGCAAGGAGCAGACGCCTCTTGCTAACAGCACCATGAGTGAGCATGCAAGCAGCCCACCAGCCCCTGTGCACCCTTCAGATGACAGCAGCTTGGGTCAACAGTGTGACTGTGACCTACTGAGAGACCCAGGCCAGAACCCCTCAGGTAAGTCCTTCCCAGATTCCTGACTCAGCAACTGTGGAAGATCATAAACGTTTGCTGCTTCAGGCTGTCAACTTTGGGGCTAATTTGTCACAAAGCAAGAGATTGCAAACACAGTGAGCAAAATCAGAGAACATCCCCACAATAATCCAGCAACACCGCTTTCCCCCAAGGCTCTGTTCAAGGAACTTTGTGTCCTCTTTCTTGTAACATCTGCCTCCAAGCTTGAGTTTTCTTAATGAAATAGGAAATAAGGCAATCAATTACTGATGGACTGAGACTGACATAACCTAAACTACTACTCATTACAGTACTTGCCTGTCAGGACCCTAGTTGGGGCCAGAAAACACTGGGCTTGCGGCACGGCCTTGCTCTTTGTTGAGTCATGACAGCAGGGAAGACAGGCAATTACTTTTGAGCAAAACAAACATGGAATCAAATGCTGGATTTTCTTAGTGATGTTGCAATTTTAGAACTATATACACAAAGCCAACAAACACACACACAGATAACTGTAGTATCAGAATACTTCAGCAAAAGTCATTTCATTTCTCTCAGTCTGAAATACTCCAGCTCTTAATTCTTTCTCCAGTGTTGCCATTAAAATATAACTTTTGATGTGGCAAAATTTCTTAGTGATGTAAGTATTCCATTAAGGAAAAATGACAGTGATAGTGAACATTTATCAAGCACTTATTAAGCACATTCACAGAGCTAACACAGGGCCTCTCATTTTACTCATGCAACAACTCTTATGTGGTAGATTGTATTCTAATCCCCATTCTGTGACTAAGAGAGCTGAGATTCGGAGAGGTTAAGTAACTTGTCTAAGGTCACACAGCTAGTAAGCAGTAAAGCCATGATAACTCCTGCTGTCTGATGACAGGACCTATGCTCTAAACCATTAGGCTAAACATCTGCATTAGGAAATTTCAACCTGACCACACTGGGCCTGGAACAGGGAGGGCCCAATGCACACACAGGCTTTGCCTTCTAGCCAGGGATGCGTCACTGCCCCATCTTAACTGCACCCAGACTACATATGGCACCCCCAGCCCCCTAACGACCACTGGCCAGGGACGTCACTGCCCAACAACACTGACTGCCTTTTTGTGGGCAAAAGCAGGAATCACGTTCGAGAGATGGGAGAGGTCAATCATCTGGAGTAAGTCAGCAGTCCAACTGTTTGAAACGTACAAATCCAGCTGCTCTGTTCACGCCCTTCCTTTCATGTCCTTGTGAAGGACTCATGTGTTTGGTACAGAGGCGCCTTCTACCGGCAAACTGGAAACTTTTGGGCACCCTGACCTCTTAGTGACCCACTGTTTAAATGGGAAGTTTATCAAACTGCCTGGTTAAGAAACTATTTTATCCTTATCCATTTGTTGGCTGAGATTTCCCCACGAATGGTCAATTATTAAAAGACACTTACAATATAATACACTTGAAAGAGCTTGCTGGTATCCCAGGCCTTACACCTTTCCTCATGCATTCCTCTCCACTCAGTCCTCCCAGATGGAGAAGGCAACGCTATCCTCTCCAGTTCACAGATGAGGAAACACATGATGGCGGAAGTCAAGCAAATCACCCAGAAACACACGCTCTGCAAGTCATGGAGCAGGACTCAAGCCTGAGCTGACTCCCAAAACAATCCATTAACATGGCAGGAAACAGCCTCTGTCTGAGCTGATGAAGAATCAGAGCCACTCCAGACGTCAGTCTTTACTGTGAACATCAAATGCAATTATGGCACAGAACGCCCCTGTGTGGCCAGGCAGAAGGTGGTCTGGGGGAAAACGCCCAGCGAAGCATGTAACTGCTGATTATACACCCTGTCTCTGCGCTCTGGAGATGTCACTGTAAAACAGGAAGAAAGGAGAGAACCCCAAACAACAGAAATTAAATATGGGATCATTGTCCCAGCTTCTGGTTACACTTCCTAACCACCTCATAGTGGCGTCCACATCATGTACCAGGATGAAGACAGCAATGGCTGCTGTAAATTCACTTCATTCTGGATCCTCTGCGCACATCCACAAGCACACGTATCTCCTGATGTTATTTAAAAGTGATTTCAAAGAACCAGCAAGGATTTCTGTCACCTCCCTTATAGAATTGCACTGCATTTCTCTTCTGGAACCATACTGTTTACCTTACCTAAAACAGGAGTGGCGATGAGGACTAGAAACAGCCCAAGTGACCATGAACCAAGACTGGGTAATTCGAAATGGAGTGCTGGTTTTGTTATTAATTGCCATTAAGTTGGTCCTCACTCATGGCAACCCCACGTGTGCAGGGGAAACTGCTCCCCGGGTTTCCAAGGCTGTGACCTTTCAGACGCAGGTCGCCAGGCTGTCTCCTGAGGTGCCTCTGAGTGGGTTCGAGCTGCCAACCTTTCAGTGAGCGCTCAACCATTCTGTACCATCAGGGACTCCAATATGGCACATTAACTCCATGAAATACTATATCCAGATATTAAGAAAATGGTTACCAATAAAAACCTATTGGAGACAGTGAAGGCCGCTTTTGGGATAACAAACACCGCAAAATGCAGACTAACAGATGACAGGGTACAGATTCCAAGCACAGACAAATCAGGTAAGCAAGGATTTTTTAGGGGAGTTGCGATTTTGGGAGTTTGCGTTATTTTTTCCTTACTAAAACAGAAACGTTCTATCTTAATCTCAGAGACAGTTCGGTGTTGGTGGATAAGGGTCTGCCATCTTCTTTTTAGTGGCTCAGGGAACTTCGTTCTCTGCCCCAAAAGTTACTTCATCAGTCTACCATCAGCAGGTGTGAGAGCTGTGGTATCTAACATCACAGTGACTTAGGAAGTAAAGATGTCTCTTAAAGAGGCTCAACTAGAGTGTTAGAGAAATGCAAATAAATGGGAAGCATCCTGCCAGCCCCACACCTCACCAGTGGTATTATCAAGACCCACACTATGAGCACTGCAGGCAGAAGGAGGTCCCCTTGCAAGTTTCTGGGGACCACATAGTGCCTTGGTCCTGCTCTGGGTTGAAATGTATCCCCAGAAAAGATACGTTGAAGTCCCAGTTCAGTACCTGTGAACGTGGCCTTGTTTGGAAACGGGGTCTTTGAAGACGTGCTCACTTAAGTTAGCGTGAGGTCACAGTGCAGTACGGTGGGTCCTACCCCAAGCGGAGCAGTGTCCTTATAAAAGAGAAGAGACACACAGAAGGCCATCCATGGGAGGATGGAATCACGAGATCTGGAGCGACACAATGGTTAAGCTTGGCTACTGGCAAAGAGGTTGATAGTTCAAACCCACCCAGCAGCTCTAAGGAAGAAAGAGCGGGTCACCTACTCCCATGAAGATCACAGCCTAAGAAACCCTAGGGGGCAGTTTCCGTCACACGAGGTCACTGGGAGGAGAAAAATCTACGCAGCAGCACCCAACGCCAAGTCAAGGAACCCCAGGGACTGCCAGCCATCACCAGAAGCTAGGGGTGAAGCGGGAAACCAATTTCCTCCCTCAGAGCCATCAGAGGAAATCAACCTGGCCAGCAACCCGAGCTCAGACTTCCAGCCTCCTGGACCGTGAGACAGCGCATTTCTGGTCTCACAAGGCTCCCACTTTGCAGTATCTTGCTGCAGCAGCTCAAGGAAACGAACTAACACAGCCTCCACGGAGAGCCATCTGAGATCGCTGTCCCACCTGCGAATACAGGGCATTCTGACCCAGCAACTCCACTTCCAGGAACCTTCCCAACAAATATTCTCACATAGGAACAGAATGAGCAACCCGAAGGTCAGTCACTGGGGCAATGTCAGTAACAGGATATTGCCTGCCTCTTGGTGGTGAAATTAAATGAACTCTGTGGCAGTCAGTGAAGTACCCTGCGCTGGCAAAAAAAAAAAAAAAAGATGGGCACCCCTTGCAAGGGAAGAGGGGGAAAAGGGAAAAGAAAAAAACCTTGTGTACCCACACCCCTGAATGTGTGACTTGGGGTCACTATGAGTCAAAATCAACTTAGCAGCACCCAACAACAACAAAGAACGGATGACCTCTGGGACCAGGAACAATGACCACCTCCAGGAAGCAAACCAGGGGACTGGGGACAAAAGAGGGAAGTGCATAGTTTCATCTTTGGTACCTTTTATATTTTGAGCCATCCATACAAACATTTTTCCATTCCATGAAATAAGTAAAAACTTCAAATACAATGTTGTGTTCGTTTGCCACCATCGATTGTTTTTTTTTTTCATTAGAAGGTGTTAGTAAAAGGGGTGTAAAGGGGTTCTGGCCAAGCCTCTCCATCCCACCGGGCCGCCCCCTACCTGGCCAGCGCCTGGACCTTCCCAGCGTGCCTCTCCTCCTGCTCGGCCATTTTCCTTTTCAACGTGTCGATCTCCTGTCGGAGTGCGGCAGAATGCTCCATCTCACCGTCAAGCAGGTTCCGCAGCGATCTGAAAAGAGGGTGCCCGGATCAGATATTGTCAACCCAGTGTCCACTGAGCCCAAAACATAGTTATTTACCTAATACATCAAGACCTAAATCATTCATTCTCCACAAGACTCAGTGTAAACTATAGTTCAAGTCCATCTCAAATAACTTGGCATAAGGAGATCACCAACTACGGTCAGGAACCTCAGAGGAATGAGCCCGAGAGAACCACACGTGGCCCAGGTTCTGTGCTCTGACAGCCTAGGAGTACAGCTGTCATCAACAGCTTAAGTCGCCAGAAAACACTGAGTTAGCAGACCCAGCGAAGTCCCTCTAAAGACACCCAAGTCGAAGGTGCAGCACATTAAACGGAGAACATTTTGTCCCAATCACACTGGAGAGAGACTTAACAAAGAAAGGGATGCCGGGGGCCTCAGAGAAGAATCTGAGGCATAAAAATAGGCCTATGTTCAGATTACCTGATGGAAGTCTAATTTTATTCCCCCTCCTCAGGAAACAAACTCTGACCCTAGCTTTCTTTTGCCATTTCCAGGTCTACAAGCAGGACGTATCAGGAGGCATGTCTTCTACTTCCATATCAGTTAACCCTCCAAAGTAAGTCCGCCAGCATGCCATCCCAGCAGCTCCTCCAGAAGTAAACAAAATTACCACCAGGAAGTGAACCTGATGGCTCTGCCCACCATTTACTGGACTGTGCCTAAAGCAGCTCCTTCTAGAAAACCGGGGGGTGTCTACATACTAAATCCAGAAGACACTTGCCCCAGGACAACACAACGCAAGCCTGTTGGGCTTCCCATTGTCAAATGAACTCTCCAACACTGGTGCTCCCTGAAAGCTTTAAGAAAAAGTCCATCCTTAGGGCTGCTTATTATGCACAGGGAGACAGCTCAGGGCGCAGAAGAGCATGGAGGGATGGACACTGGGAAGAGGTAACTATGGGGAGGAAGTGGGAGGGGAGCTGTGGCATTGTAAATTTTGGTCAATGACATGAGACAAAGTATATCATGTGAACTGCTGTATGAAAAGTGAATTTACTCTGTAAATCTTCACCCAAATCA